CCTCGGCAGGCCCCGAGGGGCCTAGGAGGCCCCGCGGCCTGGCAGGCCCCGCGCCATCCTGCCAATTTTTAGCCCTTGTATTCTGGGAATAACTGTGAAAAACGGAGCCCACGTTATGGCGTTTGATACTTTATTAGCTGTCTATACTTCTTTATAAATACCTGCAATATCGGAAATGCCACCACTATACTGAAGTAGTAAGTTATTAAAACACATTCTGAAAACAGTACACAGACCAAAATGGCATCTCCTATTAGCTTTACTCCCAGAAGTACATTTGTTTTCTACCTTTAAGTACTGATACTTGTGGAATAATACTTTGTTGACATAGAGGCAAACTCGTTTTTTTGCTTACAGCTTTCCCTGGGGTGCCTTCATCGCTGAAGACACTTCATTACTCGCTGGTACCTAATTGATACCTTATTTCCTGTTATTCTGCAGGCTCAGGAGTGATCTGCAGGCAGGGCAACATTACTCAGCCTTTGCCAGCATCAGTCCCTGCTTCCCAAGTTCTGGGTGTGCCGAGCACTCTGGCCTGGTCCTGCAACGTGTTTAAATATTTTACATCCTTTGACATGAAACACATCATCTTTTAAGATCAAGGTTAGTAAACAACATGGTTAAAGTTGGGGTTCTGGACCCACGGGAGTAAACCGGGACACATCCTGGTGTTTAAAGGACAGAGACCGTCACCCTAAGCATAGGATAAAGACCAGACTTCAGCACACGCAAGGTTCAGGCCTCTCTATTAAAAAAAGTGAGGAAAACAACTGCCTCTCCTGCAAAATGCAAAGAAAAAGAATTTCCCCCTCGCTGAAACATTCTCCCCTGTTACCAGCGTTTGCTTTCTACAAAGTCAAATCTTACCATGCATCTGCTTCCCTGTTGAAGGTATGACCGTTAGTTTTAAAAAAAAAAAAAAAGGGCACATTTCTGGTTGAGACCTAATATTTTTCCAATTAAAAACCCCTCTTGAACATCCAATCTCTCCTCTGTATTAGGCTTTACAAGCACCCTAAACTTAAATGAGCTTCATACAGCATGGATCAGCCCTTACACATAGTCTTTACGATTTCTGCTTGTGCTGTAAATAAATACGAAAGTCGTCGTGTTACATTTGCCTTCCTGCCACTCTGATTACAGCTCTCGATCCGCTGACCCACCCTCTGCGCCGAGCCGGGTGTCTGTAACTGCTGCTTTCAGCTTCAGCAAAGTTTCCATTTTTGTTTGCAGCCCCTCCTTTATCAACTACTGGGTTGTATGTCCCCATCGTGGAAAAACAAGCCTCGTGTACAAGTTTCATTCTTTTCCAGTTGAGATTTCTTTCCCCCAAACACATTGCTATATGCGTATGGCTCAGACTGCGAGGGGTGCAGGTCATGGTCATTGCCTCGGGTTAGCAAACCTCGCGCTGGATCGCACCAGCTGGGACTGCGGAGCAGTCGCCCGGCTTGCTGTAATCCCCCACGCATAATATGGCTTTTCCTGTCTTGTTCGGTATTAAAATCTGCAAATGCTTATCCTGTGGCTTGGTAAATAACTGCCTAAAAAATTTCTTTTCAAGAAGTTTGTCAGCTGATTTCATTTGTCTTAAAAAACCAAAATACATATAAACTCATTGTCCTCAATCAAGAAGCAACAGCACCGTTACATGTGACAAAGTCTTACAACGCACCGTAGAAAGAGTTGCATTGTTCTTCGTTAAAACTCGTCATGTAAATCGTAACCTGGAATGCCAATGCAGAGGCCAGACGAGCCAGCATTCCCGGTTTGTGATAATCCTACCACCATCACATATCCACAGCAAAACTGTACGTGGGAACAAATGAAACTGGAGTGGAACAAAAGCACAAAGCAGAGGTTGTCTACCGTCTAGAGACAATAAAGGAACCACTGGCAAACACTTTTTCTCCGGATAGGATCAAACAGCTGGGTTGAAAGGCTCCCACAAACCTTGTCTAATACAGCAGTAAGCCTACAGCTGGGTCTTGTAATAGGGCTGGAGCTGCAACGTCGATGGTCAGCGATAATCCAGACGCACCCTCTCCCCTAAGCAAATAAACCCTTCAGGACTATTTACAGGATCTTATAAAACTCTGTTGTAAAAACAGCTTACTGCCTTTGTAGGGAAGGTGAGAGAAATCCTTTTTCTGCTGTTTGCTCCTCATTTTTAAGCCACTTGGGATCTTTTCAAGCCACAGTGGCCAAAACTGTTGTTTTTTTGGAAGACTGAGTCACCAGCCTTGTTTCCTCAGTGGGGTCTGAACAGACACACACTCACAGCGACCAGGTACGACTGCACTGGCAACAGGACACTAAATAAGGATGCTCCACACGCAGACCATGGGCTCCCAACGCACACCTACACTCAGGGTGCTCCTGTCCTCCCAGCTTCCCCCTCCTCTCCCCGTGCCAGCGTCCAAGGGTCAGTGGGCTATTGCTTGTCGAAGCCGTGGCGAGCCGGCAGTGATGCCAAGCGCGTTAGCTCTTGTGGCTGGCGCCATTCACAGGAACCTCAGACACGGCGGGGCAGTCGCTCCGGAAGGCGTCAAGGTCCTTGGTGGTGGTGGCTTCGGAGCTGGCAGTCCCCGTCCCCTGGGGCAGGCAGGCGCCCCGGGTACCCCCCTGGCTGCGCCTGCTGCGGGCACAGTCGTGGTGCCCGTGGTTGCCCAAGCGGCTGGAAGCCACCACGGCTTTCACGGCAGCCTGTTGCAAAGGCACAAGTGGCATCAGCAGTTATTACCGTGTGTTTCTCCCCTTCAAAGCCGCTCCCGAGGCGCTCGAGCCCCTGGAGCATGCGGAAGGGGAGATGGCGTCCGCTCCTTCAGCCGTGCTGAGCTGGGAAGTGCAGCCCTTCCCCTCGGGCAGGGCTTTTCCCGGCAGCAGCTGGCCTCACAG